AAACAAAAACTTATTTTGGATGCGATTAATTGCGATTAATCGTTTGACAGCACTACTTGACGGTGAGTAAATAATGGGGTAATTTTAATTTTTTTGGGTAAACTATCCCTTTAAGGGAAAGTCACACTACACTTTCCATTCCATTGACTTCCAAGTGTCTGTAGAAATTGTGCATGCTTAAAGTCTAGTGTGATTATGATGGTGATTCCTGTGTAACCCTTGAGTTCGGTTCAACTGCTTCATTAGAGTTAAATCTATTCATAGGGTATATCTGTTCAAGCAGGATTCAGCACCCCAGTTAACAATGTTGCTCCTCTACCATGTCCAGGGTGTACAGCCCAGCGAAAGTGGCCCGAATCTGAGCAACTGTTTCAGGTTCGTCAGGGAAGAAGCGCTCCAGAACCCCCCGCCGGGCCAATTCCTGCTGCACCTTCTTAGTACCGGAGAGATGGGTACTGATGTCTGGACACTTCACAGCCAGAGAGCGCTCCATCATCAGACGGGCCTCCCAGCTCTGAAACATGCATCAGGTTATGACTTTCATTCCCAGCAAACACCTAAGACTGATCATTTCTGAGAAGAATCTTTTTTTACTATGGGACAAAAAAAAAAGTGTCCTCACCTTCTCTGAGGTGTAGTTTTGGGGCATGTATCCATTACGGAAATAGACAATGGCGATCTCACGACCATCTCTGCAGGTTGAATTGAAAAAATGAGGCCTTTATTGACATATTTGTGTAGAGTCGTGACTAAACTTCAATCTGTGTGGAACTTCTGAAGTTGGACAAAAATAGTCAGGTAATTGTGTTTTTATGACTGAACATTGCTGTCATTTCCAAGTATTCTACAATGCTAATATTAGTGTGTTACACAGATGGGAAATGTGTAAATCATAAACACTCACACAAAAAGCCTCCTGCTCTCATCCAGGGATCCAGTTCTGCAAACATCTTCAAGCTGTCTTCTTATTACAGGAATATTTCTGCACATACACAGTACAACAGATCGTCACTTCAGTCCTCAACGTGGATAATACAAAATGTTTCTTGAGCATCAAATCAGCATATTAGAATGATTTCTGAAAATTCAGCTTTGCCAAATTTTAAAACACACCTTTCAGATCCATAGAGCTCCCAGGCCTTGGCCAAACCCCTGGCCAGACCTGCTGCTGGGTTGTTGTCGAGCACATTATTAGACTCCTCTGGCAGGTTTGCGACCTTCAGAATGTGCCTTACAGGAATGAGAAACAGCGTGTCACAGCATTGACATTAACCTTTATATACTAAACATCTTTCAGTACTTCAGTGATGAACCAGGGCTGTTTGGAGCTTTAAATTTACCATGTAGCTCAGACTTACCGATGGACATCCGGTGTCCGTGAAGCAAGACCACCAAAACTTGCAGCAATAGTGTTGATTTCAATCTGCTTTAGAGACGTCCCACCGTATGGACTGTGGTCCAACATGTAGTCTGAGCGATTCAAGCCCAGCACTATTGACTTGGGGAAGACATGAGCTATAGTTTAAATACATATAAATATATCTTAATAATCTACACAATAGCATTAATATGACATTTATAAGGAGTCAGCTGTACTACATGGAAGAGGAGACGCACTGTTGATGCTGTACATGTACACTACCGTTCAAAAGTTTAGGGTCCGTAAGATTCTATTACAATTTTTTTGAAAGAAGTCTCTTATATATTATTAAAAATGTGTAATACACTTTAAAATAGCATTTATTCCTGTGATGTCAAAGCTGAATTACTCTTTAAAATGTAATTTTGTTTTCAGGAATCATTCTAATATGCTGATTTGATATGCTATTCATTTCTTCTTATCAATGTTGAACACAGTTGTGCTGCTTAATATTTCTGTGTTAACGGATAACTTACATTTTTTCAGGATTCTTTGATGAATAGAAAGTTCAAAAGAACAGCATTTATTTGAAATCTTTTTTAACATTATGTCTTTACTGTCACTTTTGATCAAATTAATTCTAACTTGCTGAATAAAAAATATTAATTTCTTTCAAAAAAATTTGAACGGTAGTGTAAAACAGAACATGAACAGTGAAGTAAATGTTCCAAACTAATGTGTAACATGCCATTTTAAAATAATAAACAAACTACATACCTGGGGACGATGTTCCTGTTGAACTTGTTTGTATATGTTGAAAAGTCTTGCTGTTGAAGCAAAAAAATCTTTTATTTGAATCAGACCACACCAAAATTATTAAAGTTTGAATTAAAGGTCAAGTGTGTAATTTTGGTGCCACTAGATGGAATTGCAAAAATACTGATGGAATAACAGTTTCCCAAACTATCTCCCATTGGTTGGACAGACAGGTAGTCCCGCCCCAAACTCATGCCATTTGCAGAGTCAGTGTTATAGAGTGACATGCTGTTAGGATTCTCAAACAATTAGAGGAATGTTTTTATTGTCTCTGCATATGAAGCTGGTATAGGAGACTGTATTTTAACATAAAAATGGCACATTTCACCATTAAAATGAACAAAATAAGGCAATAAGAAATATGACACTCAATGAAGTCAACTTGCAATTCAATAGGGCAGGGATTCCAAAACTTTTTTGTCAGCTGAAACCCTTTGTTCCCTAGTTCCCTAGCAACAAGGCAATCATTTCATACCTGGCCAGAGGTTCCTCTAGGAAGGCGGGATTCTGGCTGACCCGGTCCACTAACCGGTTAAAATGTGTCTGTACTGCCAGAGCCTGATGAAAGAGTGCTGTGGGCACCGGTGTGGGAAATAACGTGAACGGTGCATAACTCACCACCTGTGAACAGACAGACGTTTATTCGACATGCATGTGCACGACCAAAACCCTCCAGTCCCTCCTGACTCTCTGAGCCACGGGTTTCTGCCCAGTGTTGACTCAACGGGGCAAAACTAACACTCCATAATCCAGAAACAAAGCATGGTCGTAGGACAGACAGAATTCCAGTCATGACTGTGAGTTAACTGCACCTCTGTGACTAGATGTCGGCTAGTGTTTCAATCACAATACTGATTTGAAATCATTTTTGCCTGTATTTCTTTGGAATAATGGCTATTCAAGAGTCTTGGTTAGACGTCTTAGATCTGGGTTAGTTCTACAGCGCCACCAGGGACCTTTCCTGTAGGGTACGCTGTAAAAAAAAGTTGTAAATAAAAGATTTTTGGAGTACATTTCACATTTAGTCTTTCTATTTAAAAAAACAACAACATTTAATTCAATACGTTATTAGCTGTTCCTTTGTATTTATTTGTGAAAGATACTAGCAATTTCTGATAAAAGTCAACTCTTTATTTCTTTCGATTTTAAGGGCAGATTTTTGCTCTTGAGTGAAAGTTGTAGAAACCAGAGCGTTAACTGTGGTTTTATCATCAAAGCCTACTCTTTATCATCAGAACATGACAAACAATTGCCAAACATGTGAACATTTCACAAATTAATATTACACGAGTAGCTTGAGTTTAAAGTTGCAGTAGCTTGAGTTGGGATACAGTTGTTACTGTTTTTATGAATCAATATAAATTGACATCTGTAAAAATTGTTAATCACAGATAAAACCATGCACCGCCTCTCACCACCATAGTAAAAAGTAAATATATTGTTTCTATAGTATTTGTTATGAAAAAAAAAGCCTAAAGTCATTTAGTGCAATATAAATGCACAAAAACTCAGTTTTCCATGTCAGTGCTGCTTCATCTGTCTTTAAACTAGTTTAAATCACAGAAAAAAGCTTCCAGCGCATTTGCTGTCTAAAGTTTCCCATACGCACCAGAACGTTAGGCAAATTGGGATTGGCAACTGATATGGCAGCGCTTAATAGCAGTTAAGCAAACTGGTATTGGCACCAGTGCGACTGGTTATATTTTGCATAGTGCATAAACATTATATTGAACATTTATCAAACTTTTGTTATAATTTTAGAGGAAAATTATATTATACATTCAATAATATATTCATTATAAATATCATACAAGAATGTAAATGGGTTCCCCAAGACAACCTTTCCTGCCCCCCAAAGCAAAAATGCTCCTGGTGGGTTTTGTGGCTTAGATAAACAGTGCTTGTTAATGTCTCAATGACATTTCTTCTAGGCACTTGAAACATGATGTGCTCTTACTTCAGGAGAGTTTGGCGTTTCTTTGGTCCGCATCAACACCCCATGTAAAAGTGCTGTGTCTTTTGCTATCTCCTCTATATTTGTGATCAGATTTTCATCTTTCAGGACGTCCTCCCGTTTTACAGACATGGCAGAAAATCTACAATGAGAAGAAAACACGTTTGTAGTCATTAAGCTTCATGCGCAGCCTGACAATTACAAGAAATATGGATTTTCAGACACATGATTTTGTTGTACTGCAGACTGTGTCATTAAAAGATTAAATCAACGATTGCTTGATTTTATCAACTTTATATTAGTACACTTCTGCATTAACAAAATATACACAAATGTCATTACTCGGACTTTAGACAGACAGACAGACAGACAGACAGACAGACAGACAGACAGACAGACAGACAGACAGACAGATAGATAGATAGATAGATAGATAGATAGATAGATGTTTAAGCTGCTTTGCAAAATACTGTTTTAAGCCAGCAAAGCAGAGCATGCAAAACTGGTTTGTGCTTTGAAAATTTACATTTATGTAAATCAAATTTTGTTAATAAAATAATAATAATAATAATAAAAAGAATGGAAAAGCCTTTCCACGAATGGCAATGTCTGAATAAATGCTAAATGCAGTCTGGATGCTGTTTACAAATAAAACCAAAGAAGTGTCTTTTTAAAGTGCTCACAGAATATATCTGGATATAGATTACAATTGCTCTTTTTGTAATTGTGAAAGAGAGTCTATCTTTTGAATCTCCCTGTTCATCTTTGTTTTGGTCTGAGATGTCACAGTTTCTAAGTGTTAAAATGAACTGCATATAGTCTTAAATATATCATCTGTTTTACTTCATTCAAATGAATATGACTTTTCTAAAAGAAAAATATTTATTATTGATTTGTTTTTGTTATTAGGAAAATGTTATATTCATCAAACTAAATGGAGTAACTCAAAACCCATTTTTGCTCATTTTCAAACAGCCTTTAAGGCTGATGATACACGGGGCAACTTTTTTTGAGCACTGTTGCTTGGGCACTTTCCCATTGAGAACGGGTAACACATTTCTATCTGGATACTTAAGATCGGTCGTGGATTTAAGATTTATCGAAAAGCCCAAAGAACTCTGCTAAAATGAAATTAACATTTAAATTGTGTTTCAATTTGTACTTACAAAATGTGTAAATGTGAGAAATATGTTGAGAAGTTGCTGTTGAATTCTGTAATTTTGAAAGTTCAATAAAAAAAAACAATTTGTATCAATATCGCTATTGATTTTATTAGAAATACATTAACGGGGTATACACGAGGAATTGTTTGAAATGATAATTCTTATTAATATTTAACAACTGTTTTGCAATAGAAATGTAAAAGAAACAACAGTACTATCCTGTGATGCAAACTATGGACCTTTTCCCCTCAGATTCCACCGGTGTGAATCTTTCATTCCTAGAAAGACCATTACAACATTACAGCCTTGGCTGTCTCAATACATATCTATGGTCTCAAGCTTAACATATTTACAACGATCAAATAGTCTTTTTTAAAATAAGTAAATGATATGAATTTTCACCCAATGCTAAATTATTAATGTAATAATGAATTATGCAAAATTGTCACATTATCACTCATGTCAACATTTGCCTCCACGTCTTCAGTCGGATGCAGTTTAATTATATAAAAACTAAACAGGCCCCTTTAAAGGGGTCATATGATGCGATTTCAAGTTTTCCTTTCTCTTTGGAGTGTTACAAGCTCTTGGTGCATAAAGAAGATCTGTAAAGTTGCAAAGACTAAAGTCTCAAATCCAAAGAGATATTCTTTATAAAAGTTAAGAGTCAGCCACACCTACCTAA